CCCACCCCCAACCCTCCCCAACCCCCGGCCCGGGTCACTCACCTTCTGACTCTGCAGCTCACACTCCTGCAAAAGCCGCTCACAGACCTTGATGCGTTTCCGGATCAGCTCCTGCTTGGAGGCTGACAGGAGGAGGCCCTTGGGGTCCAGGGTCCCGATGATGTCGAACCACACGGGGCAGCCTTCGTGGTCGTAGCCGCACAGACCGCCCGAGTCATACCGCTGGACCACCTGGGGGAGGTCCTCCCTCAAATCAGCTCCCCCCCCTCCCCCGCCACGTCCCTGCTCCATCAGGCAGCTGGACATGGGCGGGCAGGGAGGGGGGAGTGAGGTGGGGGTGGTGTGGGGCTCACCTCTGAGGGCTGCCACGCGAGGATGTTGTCCAGGTCCTGTTGCTTCCGGAACTCGAGGTGCTGTGGAGACAGGGCAGGGCCTGGAGGCTGTGTGCCCCGAAGGTCCCTCTGCTCGAAGCCACCGAGATCCTGCCACAGCATCCCCGGGCTCTGCCGACACTGAACGGTGGGGTGGGGACACCGGGAGCAGGACCGTGGGGGGCCTGGGTCCGATGCCGAAAGGGATCCAAGGTGGGGGAAGAAGAAACGTGACAACAGGACAGGGCGAGGCCCCCACCCTTTGTGGCTGATCCCTGGGGTGCAGCGTGCGGGAGGCGGCAAGCGCGTGAGAACGGGGCCTCACCTTCCGGAGCATGTCCTCGGATTTCTTCAGGTCGAACTTCTGAGCTGCGGGAAGAGTCGAGGTAAGAGGAGGCTCGAGGCCGGATCTAGAGCAAGCTATTCTCTGGAAAACTCATGAGGACATTTGGGGGGGGGGCCCTGTCTGTTCCCAACACCCCAAGGATCCACTGGGGGTCTGGCAAGTCTGTGAAAATGGGAGGATCTTTAATTCTCTAGAAGGCTTTGGAGAAAGTCTTGATTTCGGTTTGCAGGGCTTTTTAAACTCTTCATTCTAAAGGTTGACCTCACCCTAAACCCGTAGCTCAGTTGGTTAGAGTGTTGTCCCACTATGCCAGGGCTGTGGGTTCGATCCCCTGCTGAACAGCTTGGGCTTTGGAGTCAGGAATGATTTGGGCTTGAAGTCTAGTTTTGTCCTTTTATTTGCTGTGCAACCTTAAGCAAGTCGCTTAACTTCTCTGAGCCTTAGTTTTTTAATCTGTTAAATGGGAATAATATCTTTGTTGTTGTTAATCCTCACCTCCTGTCCCGCATCCTGTCCACAGCGGCCGAGCAACTGGGCACAGGTGCCCACGGCTGGGCAGGGGCGCTCTCCAGGGTCCCCTTTCCCCTCGGAGAGAGAGAGAGAGAGAGAGAGAGATCAAGAGATACACCACGAAGCTTTCTCTGCCCTGACCAGGACCCACCTCCAGAGAAAACCCACCAAGGCCACCAGCTCTGTCTTGATGATCAAGTTCAAAATCCGTCCCCTGGGGTGCACTGAGTCGAAATCACGGTTCCCCTAAGCCCTGGAGTGGTTTCTGTTATTCTAATCATTTTACCCTGGCTCAGCCATTCCTGGAAGAAACTCCCCCACCTTTCATTACATCCACTTCCTGGCGTGTTTGCGGGGCATCTGCTTGGTGCCAGGTTCTCTACGGGGACACACAGCCTTGTCTTCAGGGACCTGGAGACAGGCCCAGGGGCAGGTGCCCCGAGACCGTGTTCAGCGACGTCTGACTCAGGGCCTGGCCATCCCGAGAACTCCCGAGGGAGGTGCCAACTGTGAGCTCGCCTCGACCCCGTGCCCAGCCGGTGCCAGGCTCTACACCCTCTCCTTTAACACTCACAACCGCCAGTGGGCGGCGGCCTCATCCCACATTTGCAGATGAAGAAACAGTCTCAGTGGGGTTTTGGGTGCCAGGCCAGCCTGAAGGGGAGCTCAGATTCTAGCCCAAAGTGGGCTGGTTCCAGAGCCCGGGTTCTTTTTTTTCTTTTTAAAATATATTTTTTATTGATTTCAGAGAAGAAGGGAGAGGGAGAGAGAGATAGAAACAGCAATGATGAAAGAGAATCATGGATCGGCTGCCTCCTGCACGCCCCCCACTGGAGATCGAGCCCGCAACCCGGGTACGTGCCCTGACCGGGAATCCAACCCTCACCTCCTGGTTCATAGGCCGATGCTCAACCACGGAGCCACGCCGGCCGGGCTCAGAGCCCGTGTTCTTTATCTCTCTGTCCCCCAAAGTCTCCCACACCCTCTCCTGAGGCCCTCACCTCGCAGCCAGCGCAGGAGGAAGTGGTCATCAGCTTTGGGCATGGTGGGCAGCAGGTCCTGGAGGTTGTCCTGGAACTGAGGGGGGGATATGATTGTCAGAGGGGCTGCCATGATCCCCAGGGCCGCCAACCCCGTCCCCATCCCCTACCCTGCCCACCCTCAGTCAGCCGGTCAGCCCTGCCCAGGGACCCTGCCCAGGGACTGCGCAGTCCGCAGCGGCTCCCTGTATCATTCTGCACCTGGGAATGGAGCACACCCACCCCTCCAGCCCACCATGGCAGGAAGAGTTGTGTCCTCAAACTTTGGGGGATCTCTGTCCCCCAAGACCCTCACTCTATAAGTCTGAGGTGGGGCCCTGCCATCCCTATTTCTGCAAAGATCCCTGGTGAATTTGATGCAAGCCAACCAGGACATTTTAGGAATGTTGCCCCTGATACTGCATCTATGATTTGAAATATGTTTTCATTGATTTCAGAGAGGAAGGGAGAAGGAGCGAGAGAGAATCAACCATGATGAGAGAGAACCATGGATCGGCTGCCTCCTGCACGCCCCCTACTGGGGATGGAGTCCGCAACCCAGGCCTGTGCCCTGACCGCGAATCGAACCGTGACCTCCTGGTTCACAGGTCGACGCTCAACCACTGAGCCCACCAGTTGGGCTCTTTCCCCCTAATTTTAAAAGTAGCACCCATTTCTTTCAAATAACGATAAAACTAAGACTAAACTCTCTTTACGTTGCTTAAAGCATCGCCACCGGAATTCACCCCCAAAGGCCAGGTGTCCAGTCCCTGCTAGGGGCCTGGTGCCTGGCTTCTCAGTGTCCATTGCCAATGGGGGAGGGGGAGAGGGAGGGGGAGGGTTCACCGGGGACCCGCTCTCTTTCACCTGAGGACCCTGCCTTCATCTGGGACCCTCTGCTCCTGGGACCTCCTCCTTTACCTGGGGCTCCCCCCAGGGCCCCCATCATTCACCTGGGACCCATCTCTCCTCCAGTAGGAATTCACTCAGGGCCCCTCCTTCACCAGAGGCCCGGGGCCCTCAGGGCCTCCGAGGGGAGGAGCCGCAACAGAAACCCTTCCCCACAAGCCCCAGGCTGCCCTCAGGGCCCAAGTGCCAGCCAGGGCTGGGCCCCCCCTCCCCCCACCCTGAGGTCACAGCTCCAGCCCCTGGCCACCTGCAAACCCCATTCATGCTATGGCACCTAAGACTTGGACTGCTCCCCCTTCAGCACAGCCAGGACCCTCCCGGGTGTGGCCTACCCCGCGGACTCTCTTGAGATCACCCCAATCCCTCCCTTCCCCTTTAATGAAAACATTGGCGATCTGGAGACAGCGTAGGCCCTGGTGAGTCAGAACGCCACCCAGAGAAGCCAAACAAATGTTGCAATCTGGGCGGGAGATCTGGGAGTCTTTTTGCCCCTAAACTGTCCAGAAGCAGGACAGGCAGAGGGGGGAGAGGGGCCCTCCCCTCCCCACCCCTTCCCACTCCCCACCCCCAGCAGGGGACAGGCGCCAGGGGGCTCTGTGGCCAGGAGCGGGCAGGAGTGGGGAGCTGGATCCGGCCCCAGTGTGGCCCAGAGAAGGGCTCCTGTCCCGCGTCCTGTCCACAGCGGCCGGGCAACTGGGCACAGGTGCCCACGGCTGGGCAGGGGCGCTCTCCAGGGTCCCCTTTCCCCTCGTACAATAGGGGCTCCAGCATCAGGCCGCTGGGGTGGGAGCAAGCCAAGCCTCCCGGCCCTGCCCCCCCACCCCCGAAGAACCTCACCCTGGCCAGGGCCTCCTGCTGCTGGGGGCTCAGGTCCCCGACTCGCCCGCTCATGGTGCCTGAGGGCGCCCGCTTTTGCCGCTCAGGGTGCTCCCTGGGCCTGGTTTTGCCCCTGAGGTCAGATGCTGGTCCCGCCCCCGACGACGGGAGAGCCCAGTCTGCCCCGCCCCGTCCCGCCGCTGGTTTCCCCTCCCCTCTGGGATGTTTGCCACCGTCTGTCCCCAAGATGCACCCTAGCAGGGCCAGGAGGTAACACGCCCCCAAAGGGGCCCCAGAGCACCCCTCCCCTCTGGGATGTTTGCCACCATCTGTCCCCAAGATGCACCCTAGCAGGACCAGGAGGTAACACGCCCCCAAAGGGGCCCCAGAGCAGACTTCAGTGAGGGCAGCAAGCACCCCCTCCTTCCGGCCTCCTCCTCCCAGGGGCTCCCACAGGCTCCCACAGGGCAGGGCAGGGGGAGGGCACCAAGGACACGGGCAAGTTTCAGGGATCCCCTTTCAGCAAAACGGGGCCGCTTTTATGAACGTGCTTCAGCCCTCGGGGTGGCCCCCAGGCCTTTCTTCCCAAGGGGCCCCCCACCCCTTCCCCTGACCTGGAACTCAGGCTACACCCTGGCCGTGCTCACCCGCTGATAGGACAGCCCTTGTGTGCAGAGTGGTTCCAGCCTCAAGATGGTCCGGAGGATTAACCGGGACGGCCCGCCAGGGGCTTGCCTGGCATCGCACACCCAGCGCGTGTTGGCTGGTAGGAGTATTGCTTCATCCTAAGGAGGCCGAGGCTGTCAGCAGAGCAGCGAGCTGCAGGGGTGAGGTGGGGGGGAGGGTCTGGGGGGGGTGTTGGGAGGCCAGAGGGTGGGAGGCTGTTGACACAGGTGTCTGGGATGGCACCTGAGAGCCAAGCAAAGGTCACTGGGGAAGGTGAGAAAGTTCAAGTTGGCTGAGCAGAAAGTTCCCAGAGAGAGAAGCAGGTGGGAGGTGACGGTAAAGGCGTGGGAAACCAGGCTACCAGACCTTTGCCCTCTGCACGTCTCAGGCTTTCGTCCACCAATCTGGGCTTCCCAGCCACGGGTGGCAGTTGAGGTTGGAGAATGTGGCTTGCCACTAGTGGGAATGGAGATGTCAGTGAAAAATATACACCACGTTTCGGAGACCTAGTATCCAAAAGAAATTAATGTTTCATTATTTGATTTCTTACATTGATTACTTGTGGAAATGACCATGTATCTTGATATATTGCGTCAATATGATATATTGTTAAAAATGGATTTTGCCTGTTTCTTTTACCTTTTTGGATTTTAGAAGTTTATAAATTAATAAACTTTATTTTGCCCTAGCCAGTTTGGCTCAGCGGATAGAGCGTGGGCCTGTGGACTGAAGGGTCCTGGGTTCGATTCCGGTCGAGGGCACGTGCCCAGGTTGTGTGCTCGATCCCCAGTAGGGGTCGTGCAGGAGGCCGCCGGTCCATGATTTTCTCTCATCATGATGCTTCTATCTCTCCCTCCCTCTCTGAAAAGCAATGGGAAAGATATCCTCTGGAGGATTAACAGCAACAAAGTTGGTGAAGAGGAGACATTCCCACGTTGCTGGCAGGACTGGAAATTGGTTCCGTTTTTCTAAAAAACCACCTGACAATACGCGTTAGGGTCCTTCAATAGTTTGCCGGCGAATAGCCCTCAGTAACGGAAAACATTTTCAGTTTAAAGTTGTTTGTGCCTTGTTAGTAGGAAAATTGGAAGCAATTTCTCAGGAGACCCTGGTGCTTACTGTGGCTGACGGAGAGTTTATAACGACATGGAAAAAAAACCACACCCACAGAACAATTGGGAAGAGACGGGATCGCGTTATAGATGCCTTATGCTTTTGGGATGCAAAACCAAGTCCACGGATCCAAGGAGCGCCAGACAAGAAAAGGAATATCTCCCCAACGTCCCCCAGTTCCTGGGGCGTAGGAAGCCGTGTTTCTAAAATGCCACAGGTAGCAGGTCACCTGCAAAGAGAAGTCCTTATTGGCCAAGGCCCTGTTCTAAGGGCTTTGTCAATATTAGCTCAGGTCATGGGAGTCGCACAGGTAACTTTGCTATTTTTTTTACAATTTTATTTTCCCATTGCAGTTTACGTGCAATATCACTGTGCATTAGTTTCAGGCGCACAGCATAGTGGTTGGCAGTCATACACTTTGCAAGGTGGCCCCCCCTCCCCCCGCTCCCCGATATCTCCAGTACCTGGTTCCCTATGTAATTTCTACCACATTCTTGACTCTGTTCCCTACGCTATACTTTATTGACACACCCTGTGACTATTTTGCACTTCTTAATCCCTTCACCTTTTTTTGTTATATTTTTATTTATTTTTTTTTAAATATTTTTTATTGATTTTTTTACAGAGAGGAAGGGAGAGGGGTAGAGAGTCAGAAACATCGATCAGTTTGCCTCCTGCACACCCCCTACTGGGGATGTGCCCACAACCATGGTACATGCCCTTGACTGGAATCGAACCTGGGACCCTTCAGTCCGCAGGCCGATGCTCTATCCACTGAGCCAAACAAGTAAAAAAAAGAGAGAGAGAGAGAAACCTCAATGATGAGAGAGAATCATGGATCCGCTGCCTTCTGCACGCTCCACATTGGGGATCAAGCCTGCAACCCGGGCATGTGTCCTGACCGCGAATCGAACCTGGTTCGTAGTCGATGCTCAACCACTGAGCCACGCTGGCCGGGCGAGGTAAGCACTATTAAAGGTCTCAAACCAGCCAGCAGCAAAGCCAAGACTGGGACCAGGCAGGTTAGTACAGGGCCAGGTGCCCACCTTGCCATGTGACTCCGGGCCCCCTCCAGTCCCTGTTCTTCCAGCATAGCTCTTGCTGGGCGTGGAGGACTTTTGCTCTCACCATCTGGGTGCCCGTGTTTTGGGAGACGGACAACTCCCCGTCTCCCGTGGTGTGTGGGCTGAGAAGTTGGACTGCAATGAGGGTGTTGTCATGGTGTGTAACCCGGACGTCACACCTGCCCCCTCACGGCAGTCCCTCCTCCTCCCACCTTCCAGAGGCTCGGAAAACAGCTGGCATGTCTCGCTGGCCGCAGGTGCCCTCCCTGCAGTCCTCATTCAAGCCTGGATCCTGCCAGCGGAAGCAAAGCCTGCTGGGTGAAGGGCATCCCCATTTTTGGGGTGCGATCAGGCTTGGCAGGAGTCCTGCCTGCTGTGCCCCACATCGTGGCTAAATGGCGCCCACCTGTGGTCACCTAGCTGGACAGATGCCACTGGACGCTCCTCCGAATACGTAGGCCTGGGCTTGGGTGACCTTGGGAGGAAGGATCGGGAGGGAGTGTCTGCCTGACCCAGTTGCCCGGGCAGCGGTGGCCTCCTGCCTGGGCCGGCCGGGGAGGTGGAGATTAGGCTCAGGGCGGCTGTGGGAGGGTTTCCTTGGCTCCCCACTCACTCAGGGTGACTCCAGGGAAAGACGGGGTCTGATATGACCACATCCCCCAGACTCTTTGCTCCCACAAGGGCCTGGGAGAGAGAGGGAGGGGCCAGGGGAGCCTGACCCAAACACCTGACACACAAGGGGGAAGGGTAGGTGAGGGATCTGGGGCCACAGTGGGTCTCTTTCCCTACAAAATCCGGGAGGTCCCGGCCTTCCCAAGCCACGGAACAACAGGTGGGCAGTGTGCGGGACTCTCTCTCTCCCTGGGCTGCTCCTGTTTGGGGGAGGGGAGGGTGAGCCCGGCGTGGGTGCTTTGAGTGGGACAACAGTGTCAGAGGGAGCAGGTGTGACCAGCTGTGGACACCACCATTATCGGGCCAACGGCTCTGGCCTTGGACCCGTTCCCAGGGAGACTGTGTCAAAGACAGATGTGAGCGTGGATGGGGTAGTTGATACCACAAAGCAGCGGGGTCCTCCATTACAGCTGGGTTTTGGGGCCCAGTGCCCTTGAACACAGAAGCCATCCTGTCTGCAGAGTGGCAGCCCCTGGCTCAGGCTCCAGGCTGGAGAGGAGACCCCGAGCTGCTCACTCACCTCTCAGAATCACCACCCCCCTGCGTGCCTCCTCACCCACGCATGACTGGGCCAGGGAACAGCTTGGGGGCTGAAACAGGCACTGTGGCAGGGTTTCTTGGGGTCTCACTTCCCCACCGGCCCCCCCACCCATGCATATCCTAGGGCTGGTTCACCCACCTTTCACAACAATTGAATTCTTCAGCCCGGCTGGTGTGACTCAGTGGTTGAGCGTCAACCTATGTATGAACCAGGGGGTGGCGGTTCGATCCCCGGTCAGGGCACATGCCCGGGTTGCGGCCTCGATCCCCAGTGGGGGGCGTGCAGGAGGCGGCTGATCGCTGGTTCTCTCTCATCATTGATGGTTCTATCTCTCTCTCCCTCTCCCTTCCTCTCTGAAATCAATAAAAATATATTTTAAAATAAACAAATAAAAAACACCAACCATATTGGATTAGGGCCCACCTTCATGACCTCATCTTTTTTTTTTTAACTTTTTAAATTGTTTTTTTTTCCTTAATAATACTTTTTTATTGAAAGCATTACATATATGATCTTATCTTGATGACATGTACAAAAACTGTATTTCCAAATAAAGTCAGTTATAGGGTACTGGGGAGTTTAGCAATTCAACATCTCTCCTTGTTTTAAATGTTTTTATTGATTTGAGAGAGAGAAGGGAGAGGGGAGAGAGAGAGAGAGAGAGAGAGAGAGAGAGAGAGGAGCATCACTATGAAAGAGAAACATCGATCAGTTGCACCCTGACCAAGGATGGAGCGTGCAACCTCAGTTATGAGCCCTGACTGAACCCGGGACCTTTCGGTGCACAGGCCGATGCTCAACCCACTGAGCCGTACCAGCCAGGGCCAACATCTCCTTTTAGGGGATACAATTCAACTCACAACGCAGAGGAACAGGTGGTTCCACTGAATTTCTCCCCGGGGACAGCCATGACCCCCGCTCTGGCTTTCACATGTCAGGCCTACAGATGACTGGTCATCCTGGTGCCCCCATCTGGACAGAAATAGCAGGACTGACCAAGACCAAATTCGGCACCATGGCGCCCCCTGCTGCCTCGCTGTGGCAAGAGCAGCCTGGCTCCTGCAAGCTGCAAGCTGCAAGCTGCAAGCAGCGGCAGAGACCCTTGGGGATCACTTTTATTTATTTATTTTAAGAATCTTCTCTTTTATTTTATATTTTTATTGATTTCAGAGAGGAAGGGAGAGGGAGAGATGGAAACATCTGATGACAGAGAATCATTGATCGGCTGCCTCCTGCACGCCCCCTACTGGGGATTGAGCCCACAACCCGGGCATGTGCCCTGGACCGGAATCGAATCCTGGACCCTTCAGTCCGCAGGGCGACGCTCTAACCACTGAGCACACCCACTAGGGCTCCTCATTGATGTCTCTATCTCTCTCTCTCCCTCTCCCTTCCTCTCTGAAATCAATAAAAAATATACTTTAAAATAACAATAAAATAACCTGTGTTCTTAAAAAAGAAAAGAAAAGAAACGGAGTCCAGGGTGGAAGGGGAACCCAGGGCCTAGGTAGGGATGGAGCACCAGCTGGGGGGGCAGCTGGAGTGG